CTCTTTTCCCCCTTTTTTCACCCCATTCCTCTTCCTTCAGATTATTTTGCCTTTTCTTTCATCTTTACCTGGTGAAAGGAGTTACTGATAATAGTCTAAGACCATTTTAAATATCCTCCCAAACCTAGGGAGTATAATATGTGAGGGCTTTTCCTTTTTCCCTGTGCACAAAATCCAGTCAGTATTACTCATATTTTCTCAAGGCTAAAGGTATCCTAGGTGTTGAGGTGACATGATGGATGGAGTGAAGATGAGGTCTGAAAGGATCAGTGAAACTGGCATTTCTGTAAAAGACGGATGAAGCACACAAAGAATTCCCTTATTCACAAAAAGTACCTGACAGGTTGGGTTTTTTTCCTCACCCATGTGAAGGAAGAAGAAACCTGGAGTGAGAAACCTGCCTCCAGTGAAAACAACAGCAGGAGTGCTGCCAATGGCAGCCAAGGCAGAACATTTTTGGGGCACAGAGATGATCCAAGGGCTGAAGCAACTCTCCTACGAAGACACACTGAGAGAGTTGGGGTTATGGCTGAAGAGAAGGCTCTGTGGAGACCTCATTGCAGCCTTCCTAAAGGGGGCTTATAAGAGGAAGAGCGATGTTTTACACAAGCAGATAGTGATAGGACAAGGAGGAATGGCTTTAAAATTAAAGAGGAGAGATTTAATTAGATGTAAGGAAGAAATTCTTCCCTCTGAGGGTGGTGACGCCCTGGCACAGGTTGCCAAGAGAAATTCTGGCTTCCCTCTTCCCTGGTAGTGTTAAAGGTCAGGTTGGACGGGGCTTGGAGCAACCTGGTCTAGTGGAAGGTGTCCCTGCCCATGGCAGGGGGATTGGAAGTAGATGATTCCGTGATTATTGCTGGAGCTGCCGCAGCTGCTGCCTGCCCACGTCTCTGCCAGGGGTGCCATGAGGTGGGTGTACATTGCCAGCCCCATTCAACATATTAGAAAGACAACGTATTAGAAAGACAGCAGGAATGATAAAATTCATTTTATTGTCCATCCTTCTGCTCTAAGGTGTAAATACAGCTCGTCCAGAGTGAGGAGATGCTTTTGTACAGAGACCTGAGTTTGCCATTGGCTCGGGCAGGGCACTGCTGTAGCCATGTGTGCAGGACACGGATGGGCTGGGCACCATCTGCTTGGGCATGGTCATAACTTCCCTCCTTGGACACCCAGGCAAAGCAGGGCACTCATGTGTGTATTCCAGATTCAACTTGAAGCTAGGAAACATCAACATTGGCAAAAGAGGCTTATTTGGAGCTGTGAATGTAGGTCATGCTGAAGATCAGCGACCTACATTTCCCAGGTTTGAAACTGCAGAGTAAAGTAACAGTTGTTGAGCCCCACAGCTGTCCTGCTGCTGTCCCTGCCATGGGGGAAACCAACCTCCAAGGTCCAGAACAGGAGGGAGATGGACTAGTTTAGGGAAAACTGAGGTGCACTGGGGTGGCTTGGAAATACAGTTTGTAAGCCAATATTGTGTTTGTGCTGAAAGGGCTGTGAGCACCTTGGAGTAGCCATGGGGTGTGGAATCAGGGGTGTTGGTGGGAGGTGTCCATCTCATCCATCTCATCCTTTCAGCAACAGTCAAGTCTCAGCACTATGGGAAAAGTTAAAAATCTTGCCCTAGGCCAAGCAGGTTGTCTTTATCACAACAAAGAAGTGAACCAGGATCTCTCCCCAGGGAGCATGAAATGATGAGTCCTGCTCCTCTCTCTGAATCACAGCTCTGTGTTTCCCTCCCACCTATTGCCTCCAGGCCCATGTTCTGCCCTGCTGCTGCTCCTGCCACTCCTCAGGCTCTCAGGCACCCAAAAGCCAAAACACTGGCTTGAAATGGTTTGAAAAGATCTCAAATGAGGCTTGTTTGTTTATTCATTAGTACTTTGTTGTGTTTTATGTAATATTGTCTCCTAATTAACTGAGCATCTCACTGGACAGATATTTACACACTACTCTGCACATCCTGACACCTGTAAGGTCTTTAGTTTGGGGTTTGGAAGTGGCAAATGAGCATAGACTCAGACTCAGGAGCTGGAGCTGCAGAAAAAACACACTCTTTGAAGGCATACAAGGCTCAGAGGAGGATCATGGTCTTTACAGAGGTGTGCTCAGGTTGTAAGGGCATCACATGAGAGCCAGAGCAACCATACCTGGTCCAAACACATCCTCCTGGGTATGTGTTTGATGCTGGAGAGCCAGAGCATGCTGGATTTCAGGCTGTGTGGAGGTCAGGAGCCAGGGCACAAACAGTTTCCTGGCAGGTTTGGGCAATTAGCAGCCCTTTTCGAGTCCCCAGCAGTGTGTGTGCTGCAACCTCTGTGCAACCTGTTTAGTCTCATCCAGCTTTTCAGCACTTGCAATTGCCAAAGCCTTAGCAGGGGATCAAGTGTTAGATCCCCCGTTCACCTGCCTTGACGTTAACTGAAGAATTATTAGTATAATAAATATTTAGCTTGTTTTTTTAAGCCTCGGTGTAGAACATTTTGTAGAATTTGACTGCAAATCCGAACCCTGTGGCTTTTGTCAAAATACTAAATACTGAATTCTCCGCTTGCCTCCCTTCTGACATCATTAATGATAATAATCATTCCCCACAGCTGCTAATCCTCTTTGCAAAACGCTCTGCCGAGAGCTGGGATGAGTCTCCTCTGCCCAGCATATTCTGCAGTCATTTGTATCAATTCCATACGACCATGGAAATGACCCGGTGGGACTTCAAACTGATGTAAATGACCATGGGAGATGGAGGCCAGCAGAGACAAGCACACACTGATCAGGGATGGCTTAACCAGTTAGTGAAGTTTAGTGGCCTTGGAGCGGCTCCTGTCCTTCAGCATGGAGTCAGCCGTGACTCGCTCTTCATGTGAGGAAAATTGTGGCAGAAGGCACTTAACAGAGCAAGGATCATTCTTGAATCCTTTCTCAAGGATTCAGACATCCTAACTTGATTTTATTTTTAACCAGGGCAAAATCTAGTCCAGTCACTGTGTAGGAAACACACCCAAGCAAACAGAACCTGCAGGTGATTAGCCTGACCCCCTGCCTGAGAAACCGATTTATTTTTCACATCTATCTTCTCTTGATGTGCGGGCGTTAAGTCTCAGCTCACTTCATGTTCCTCTTTAAAATCACTTCTGAAGTGATGAGTCCCCTCAGACTAACACTAAAGGGATGATTGTAGTATCTCTGGGACAGCCTTTGCCATGGGCTCACATTCATCAAGCACCAGTTATGGTGCAAATTCAGCCTCACAAGAGAACGGCAAGACCTCAAATACTCCCTTGTATAACGGTAACAGGGAGCTTTTATTTAATGCTCTCCAGCAATCTGTCTCTGAGAGCTTTAACAAGGTGGGCTACTCTTTCTCTCCTCCTTTGAAAAATCAAGAGCTGCAGAACAGATACTAAATTATGTCCTCAAGTTTGCACATTTTAAGGGCTGCCTAGTACCACCAGGAAAATAATTCCCATTAAATATACTTCTGATGAAATTTTCAATTCTGGGTGCTTGAAGTTTTCCATGGGAACAACATGATTTTTGCAGATGTTCTTGATTGAGAAAAAACAAGTCACATCAAGATGACCCTACCTGCAAATTCCAAGCATTTTAATCCAATCTGTGAGGTGTCTCATGGAACCCACAGCCCCAAGGAGAAGCAGAGGAGCACCAGGGTATGTTAGATTCAAATTGTGATATCAGTGGGGCATTTCATCAACAATTTCATCAACACAGGTGGATGTTAAACAGGCTGGAAGCTTTTTAGTAATTCCTAATCCCGCCCTCAAGGTGTATTTGTGTCACTTTCTCTTCTGTGAACTTTGTGGCTTTTGTCTTCATTCCTCAAATAAGCAAATGCTGAGACACTGCAATGGGAATGCTCTTCTCCTGCCTGGTGGGTGGGGTGGGATTAAAGTGGCAGAGGGATGGAGGACACAGATTTTCCTGCTCTAAAAAAGAGCAAATTTGTGCCCTGTCTCAAAGTTCTGAGCTTCCCACTTGCTCAGCTTTATGGTAACTATTGAGATGTCCAAAGGGAAACAGCTTTTCCTTGCGATCTGTAGATTACTAGTCTGGGTCCTCCAGCCTTTCCCCATTTCTCCCTCCTGGTTTATCACAGCCCTGAGACAAGGTCTACAAGACTCATTTTTCTTTTTTGAAATGCCTCATGGTCCTTTCACCAGCACGTTGTAAAACCTTATCATAAATAATTAAAAGTACAGCTGTCAAAATAAATGGCTGAAGTCCATTTTGGCAATGCTGTGAAATATTATCCTACCGGGGAGGGGGGGGAGGGGGTTGGATTTTTGTATGCTGGCAGCCTGAGCCTGGCAGTGCCCTGTAATCAGCAATGAGTTTCTCAGTCATTAGTTCAAATTAGAGCAGCTCTGATGACAAGTCGATGGCAACTCCAATGGCTGAGAAAGGTGCAGACTGACCCTTATCACAAGCAGAGCAGAATGGTTTATTTTGTCCCGATTTCTGAACAGAGGAAGGGCACAAAGCAGTTGTGTAACTCTGGGTAATGGATGGGTTGGCAACCAGGTGGTCTGGGGCCAGCAGCAAGCACGTGGCTCTGGTCAGAGAGGCAGAAATTTCATCAGGAGCCAGCAAACTCCTGGGATCTGGAGAGGCTGCAACCTCCACGTGCTCTTCAGATCTCGGTCCCTCAGTGCCCTTTCTTTAGGCTCCCTTTCAGATCCACCTTTTCTTCATCTCCTGCCTCCAAAACAGAGCTAGGGAGACATTTCTCCTGCAAGTAAATACATGTTGAGCTGGAGAAACAGAGTGGTGTAATGTGTACAGGCAGGGTTTGCAATGTGAGCATCCAGCTTAAACATGGCAGGACTGGATGGAGTATCAGTTTTCATTTGGGTCTTGCTGAAAACTGCTGGGGGGGGTGTCTCTGGCTTTTAAGGTCTCTACTCTCAGAAGTACAGCAGCAAGAAAAAGCTCTTAAGATCTCCTGAACCTCTGGTTTCTCTCCCATCCATCAGGCTCACCCCGAGGAGGTTTTCCTACCTGGTTATTAAAAGTGAAGGTCCTGATCCAGGAGCTGCAGCCAAGGAGGAGACAAAAGTAAGATATGGGAGAGAGTGGGATATGAGGTCCAGGTGAAAGCTGAGCTTTTCAGGGACAGGGAAGAGGGATGCTGTGAGCTTGCACAGCTTTTTTTCACAGGTCATGTGGTATGTGGGGGTTTTTGAAGTCACAACTCTTGAACCTGAGATTTTTTGGGATGCTCAGCTTTAACAAACACAACAAAAGCTGTGAGTTTCTAGTCCTCATGTTTAGAGGGGAAAAGCTTGAAAAGAGACCCTGAGAACATAACAAAATTAAAAATAGATAGCATACAAAAATATTCCCACTGGTATTACTCCAACAGAAAGTTATTTGTGATGAAGATTGAACTCTGGATTTATCAGCTCAAGCATTTGTACTTATTTTTTAGGACAGAGAAGCATCCCAAAATGGAAGGAGTCTTTGATGGGTGTTTACCATGTCCTGCTGCCTCTACCCTGGGATGTGATGAACCTGCTGGGATGGAAGTGAGTGTCCCCAGGTCTTCTGATCCCCCAGGTCTGGCAGAGGCTGGGGCTGTCTCTGCCACACTTCTCTGTCCAGCTGCTGCCACATGGAAAGGGTCTTTTGGTATGATAAAAGAATCAGACCAGAGACCCAGGAGCCAGGAAACTTGGAGTTTGTTGCTGTCCCTGCCACTACCTTGCTGCCTGATCTGCATTGGGTCACTCAGACCAAACCATCCTGACCCTGTAACACCCAAAACATTCTGTGCTGCACTTGGACAAAGTTTGTAGAAATACAGAGCACCCACTGTCACTGCACACCAAGCTGTATTTTGAAGTGCTGGGATTTAGCTTTGGAGATGACAGCAAAACCCTCCATGCCTCTGTTTTCCTCCTCTGAGGAGTGAGGATAATGGCATTGGCTCATTGTCACAAATCGCATTGAGCCCTTCGTCCGAGGTGGGAGGGGATGTTTTTCAAAGAGCCTCAGGCATTTGGAAGCGTAAGTCCCGGTGATAATCAGTTTGCAATTAGTCTTAGATGATTTTTGAAATTATTATTTCCCTGCCGGAGGGTGAGGTCTCATTTCTTGCACAGAGCTATTGCTTTCGCTTCGGAGCAGGAGCTTTTGCTTGCAAAGGTTTTTCCCAGTTCCTACTCAGCTGCTAAACAAGCCTTTCTCCAGGTCCTGAAGACCTGAGGCTGGACCCCCATGTCATGGCTCCTGTACCCTCATGGAACTGACCTCTGGGCACTGCTGGTGCTGCTGCCTTCTCAGCCAGGAACATCCCAAATCACTGTTGCTCTCAGATTTCTGTCCCTTCACAGATCTGGCTGAACCCTTTCAGGTGGCTTTTAAATGCCACCTCCCCTGGGACTTGTTAAAGTGCTTCATCAGTGCCCATCTTCCTCTGCAGGGATGACCTTTAACTCATCTGCTGTTGCTACCTGACTTGGATCACCTCAGAAGAAAGGTTGCCATGGTGATTTCATATTCAGCTCAGCCAAAAAAACACAGCTTCTGTATCTTATTAAATGCTGCCTTTTGAGGACCCTACACATGGAGAGATAAGGCCAGGGGTTGCCTGAGTTGACTGTGGCCAGGAGTTTGGTCACTGGGAGTTTCCCCACCAGCCAGCGGAGCTGTTCCTTACCCCTTTGCCAAGCCCAATGGGTTGTTTTGATTTTTTTTTCCATGTTAGGGTATAAGCTGGGGGTTTGAAGCCATTAGCATTGCTACGAAAACACTCCTCTGCCAAATGTCAATCTGCCTTTTCAAGGGGATTTTTCACCGCTCTAATCTAAACTGTGCTGTCAAATGTCAGGAGCGGATGTTTAATGAGGACCTGTTGGAAGCCCTAATTGGATGGGTATTCAATGGGCTTCTTTTCTTTTGGTTGTTGTTTTATCCTTGGGACTCTGTTTTCACAGAGATCCTCGTTAAATTTTAGAAGCTAATCTCCGTTTAAACTACAAACTCAGGGAACCATGGTCCTTGGGGGCTGCTGGGAGCCACGGCTGCTGTGGGCTTTCATTGAATTTGTCTGGAAAGCAGAGAGAAAACCAACCCAGGATGTTTCTGCTGGAGCAACAAGGACCATTTTTGGCACATAGGCAGTTCTTTTCTTGGAAAAAGCATGGAGAAAACAGTCTAAAGGCACCACAGTTGTGGAAAAGATGGAGAAAGAGCCCAGGAATGATGGAGTGATTGGCCCAGGGTCCCCTTCTCCACTGAGAATGTGAACACACACAGGCATGAGGAAGGGGACCAGCTCACAGACATGTCCACTGTATTTACCTCCAGGTGGATTGGGCACCCCAGAGGTAGGCAGCAGAACCCTGATCCCTTCCAAGGCCATGAACCACCCCAAACTCTCATAATCCCTTAAAGCCAGCCAGAGACAATGCCTGCACACCCTGCAGCCACCTCTCCAGGCCTCATTAACTCCCTTCCATCTTGCACCAGCATTTTCCTGCTGTCACCTCTGGCAGAGGCAACAGGTGCTGTGTCATCTTGGAAATCACAGCTGAAACCCCTGTGAGCCATCCAAGGGTTATCCCAGCCCAAATCCAACATTCTCCTCATCCCACCTCCTGGCATGTGATCCTGCTCCCTATCCTTGGCATGCACCACGTTCTTGGCAGACAGATGTACCTGATGTGGAAACAGCCACTCAGCAGATCCCTGTGGCAGCATGGAAACACCCCCTGCACTTTATTGTCTGTGTGCCACGTGCTTCCTAACAGGAAAACCCTTCCCAAAGGGTTTATTTCTCCATGTGAACTCAGTGTCCTGAATGCCTTTACACAAACAATCGTTCTTTGATTTTCTTCCCTCCCTCCCTCCCCCCCGCCCTCAAAACAATTTATAACGGATGATTGTTTAAAATATCCTTGTTTCCTGGATGTTGTGGTTTTATTGCATTTTTAATTAAAACCTTGGGAAGACCATAAAAGACACATCACAGACACAAGTGTTTCGATATCCCGTTTCACATTAAGCACCCATAAATACCCACACATCCCTTCACCATCCCCCTGCCCCCTTTGCCCTGCATCACACTCAGGGCTCCACGCCTTTAACAGATCCTTTGGTTTGGAACTGGCTCCCATTCCAACACACATGTAACACCTCCTCTCCATCCCTAATTGCCTTTCATTTAACACATGCAATTACCAAAATGACTTAGTCCAAAAATAAACCACAGAATGTTCAGAGCTGCCTGGCTCCTCAGACAGTTTTCAGCCAAGAAATTTGTGCCCTCCTGGTCTCTCCTGGGAAGCCCAGGAGGAGACTGGTGTGCTTGTAAATCTGCCCCTTCCATAAAATCCTGAGAAAAGATGCCGTGAAGCCCGCACTGGAGGCAGGTGAGACGCACAGGTTCCAAATCATAACGCCTACCCAGTCATTTCTAGGCATTTGTTATGGTGTCTTAAGTCAGCAACCTCAACAACTCCCCTGGTCTCCAGCCAGGAATAAAAGTGCTGAAGGAAATCAGGCTGTGGTAATTTCCCCAAACCCCAGAGCTAACATGCATGGTAATTAATTAATTTAGTGGAGAGATATTTTTTTTCTGCTATGAGCTCTCCCAGGGGCTGCCACAAAAGCCCATCTCCTTGGCGGTCATCCCATGGCTTTAATCATGTGTCCCACATAATTCTGCTGAAGAATTCGGCAGAAGTTCTTCCAGCATGGTGCCTGAGATTCAGCCTCTGAGGCCCATCCTTTGAAGCAGAAATGTGACCTTCTGAAGAGATGGATGAAATCGTGGTGCTGATGGGCTCAGTGGAAGCTGCCTCTTGATTTCAGTGAGGTCAGGATGAGTCCCACCACATGCTGGCTTCCTGATGCAAGAAACAGCACAGCATGTGAGGGCTTGGAGTCTTTTGGGGCTAATTATTTGTTTTAAAGAAAAGAAAACATTCAAGTCCAGTGTTTGTGGTTAATATAGAGCTTGTAGGAGCAAAGTTCATTTTCCCTAGAGTTGTTTTAGTTATGGAAGAACTTCAAGAATTCTTTCTGCAGCTTCCTTGAATTTGTCATTGAAGGTTTCCTGAATTATGCCTGCAAACCTGTTTAAATCTGATCACAGATGGAGCATAAATGCCATGTTGTTGAAGTTGAAGGACACAGCTTACTTTCTGGGGAATAAAACATTGCAGGAAGCTGATACAGAATCACTGGGATGGTTTTTGTTTTGTTTTCTTTTAAACATGTTTCCTTCAAAGCTTCCATCCACAACACAATACTCACCCACCCCCATAACTAATTCACTATTTTACAGCAAGTAAAATCAAACAGGAGACAAATGACTGTTGTTTAGTGCCATTAGTTTCAATGGCTTTACACAATATTTGAGTCATTGGCTCGTCTATTGCTTTGGAGGAATCCCAAATCTGGATGAATCTACGTGCATTATAAACCATCCATGGGGCCAGGCCAGGCCTGCCTAACAGATGGAGGTCCATATGCTCTGGCTCTGCACCCATATGGAACACTAATATGCAGTCCAGGAATAGAGCATGCCTCTTCTCCTCTTCCCTAGCGATCTCCAATCCAAAGTCATTTCCAGACACAAGCCGAGTTAAGCAAGTTCATCTGGAAGCTGTGCAGTAAGCCACCACAAGACTGATAGTCCAAGCATAATGTTTTCCTTGCTCTGTGGTTCCTGCAGAAGCCTAAACTGCAACATTTTCTAGAAAGTGGCATGTCAGGCTTTCCAGAGCACTAGTTAAAAACCCCATTACGCTGCTCTAATGTGCTTTAAACTTTGCTGCCTGGGTCATCCGAGAACACCGAGGGCTTCATCGACCCTCACTGGAGGAGCTTCTCCAGGCAGCCAAACCAGCAAACAGCTGAGGGTATTTCACAATGCCTGGGAGGTTTTGTTTGCTGGAGGCACAGGATTAGTATCAGATGGCCTGCCACCATCTCAGCACAGGGGGACTTAGCTTTTATTGCTGGTAGGATTCCTCCGGCCTCGCCTCCGGTTTCTTCTGGCCAGGCACTTCCAGGGGGGACACCATCCCCAACTGCTTTTCAGCATTCAAGGACAGCGTTTTTCCTGGTGTCTAATCTGTGCTCAAACTCTGTGTTTTCCTTGTGGATACAACACAACAGATACAGCTCAGTTCTGTTTTGAGCACATGAGCAGCAAATTCAGTGCCTGTGCTGTGCAGTCTTTCAGGTGTTTGGTATCTCCTTTAGGATGGCACCTCCCTGACTATTTCTGGGGTGTGTCCTCCTCCTGCTTGTGCTTCTTTAGGGTGTTGGAGATGGCTGAGGATTCCTATGCTAACCAAGCAGGAGATATTTCCATCCATGCTGTTACTTCATGCACAAGTTCATGAGAGCATAACGGTGGGAAGGTCCATGAGTGCTGATCCTGATTCCTGTAAAGGCACCTGTGGAACTGCTTGGAGATGATGTTAAGCAGCCAAATGCATCTGCCTTCAGCTGGGCTGTAAATGAAATTGGCATGTGATGGATTAGACTTGATGAACAGGATTCATCAAACAGGAGTTTTCCCAGCTGGAAAAGGAGCTTATTGCTGAATGCCTTGATGTTGCTAATACTGGGAAAGAAGCCCATCCTCTTGGGAGGATGATGATTTTTTTGAGTATCGTTCAGACCTCTATCCGAGGTCTTTCTCAGTAATTTCTTTGCAGACATGGATGATGTGCAACCACCTGGGGGGGCAGAAAAAAGGCATGGAGTCCATTCCCTGCTGGTGGTGGCCTCTCCAACTTGGAGCTTAAGCTGGGAGTGCTGTGGTATCCGCAGTGGATATGGCCCAATCTGGAGCTTGGACATGAGCCATCCCATGACAGTACTGGAGTTGCAGAGGAGATTTGCCAGCTTGTGGGTGCTCAGTTGTTTTCACAGGGAAAAATAAGATTAAGTAGAAGAGAAGGAAACCTAGAAAGCATTCAATGTGGTTAAAAAGGGGACCCCAAAATGAAATTCTGCTGCCTGGTGCCAAGGGTGATAGAGTAACACTTAGAGATGAAAATAGGTGCTACTAGACTGTTCATAAATGTGAGAAACTTAAAAATAGCAACCAGAACATCAAAAGAGCTGAGAAATGCATGGTTTGACAAATCATTGCATTGGAGACCATGGTTATGTGCCTGGTTTTACCTTCTGACATTGAGGGGCACTCTGGAGAAAAACCACATCCCTGCAATCCCCTGTGCATCTCTGAAAGCTTTAAGCTTTAATTTCCACAGTTTCAAGCCTCTCTAGCATGAAATTGGATTGTTTAAATTTTTAAAAGGAATGGTAGACAAAAACCAATATCTATATCATGATTTGTAGATGGTGCAACGTTTTTGAGACTATTCTGCACAAAATTAAAAATTATTTTGTATTGGGATCAACTGAAACCACTTATATAACTTAAGTGAGACTGACTGAAGTGCTTGGTGTTATTATTCCCAAGCAGTATCCAAAATGCAATGTAAAAATGCAGAAGATTTTCATTACACCTTGAATACAAAATATT